ACCTCAGCCATGATGGAAATGTGTGGCCTATGTTTAATGCTGGGTCCCAGTCAGCAAACCAACTAATTTAAATGGACTTAATCATTTCTGGCCATATGGTTAAATATCGGGTCAGAATGATTTCAGAAGCTTGTTGGCTACTAAAACCTTCTGATCAAGCTGCAACTTACTAAGGGACGTTTAATCAAATATTAGTGGGGATGTATACACACAGATATGTATTTATAGCACGACCCCGTTTGTGTTACTAAAGTCATTAAAGATGAATGCTGTACAAACATTCATAACATAAACATAAATATGTGTAAACAGCAGTCAGCCCGTCTTCATTATCGCTCAGCCTTACTCTGTTCTTTCCTGCAGTACTGAATAAACCAGCCAGTTAAACTTTCTACCAAACCGCCGTTGGAGAGTTTCAAAGGTTTAACAATTGCACTGTTTTGCATATTCCTGTGAGAGGTAAACAGTCGGGGAGAGGAGGCACAAAGGGATGATAAGCCTGCCTTCACACCCGAGGACAACCGCTATACTGGCTGTTAAACACACTGAAACAGTTCTGTCTGTTGCTGTCTTTCACTTTCTTCTTTCTCTGTACTTTGTATATTGTAACTTTCTGCTGGAGCCTTAAAGAGTGTCCAGCAGCAGTTCACAGCTTCACCCTTCAAACAAAACTAGCAGCCTCAGAGGCATATGCTCCAAAACAGATTACTCGTGTAGGATTAAGCATGATAATCTCATCTCTTGTTCGTGATTATCTTTGTTGATTTTGCTTTGGTGTAGCTGGTTTATGAGCTGAACAGTGAGCAGAGTGCAGTGAAAACTGTTCTAAACACATTGATCAGAGCACTTTCATTTCACAGACTCCCGTCTTTATCTCCAGCCAGGAAACCTTCCTCAAGAGAGAGACCATCTCTATTCATTTGGAAATGTCTCACCTCTCTAGTCACGACTACCCTTTTGTTTTTTTGTGAAGTGTCCTACTCAGCTTCACTCAACTCCCTTTGCATGAATGCATAATTAAGCTACTGTTGTCTTCCTAGTCGTTACTTCTTGCAGGAGTCCAGCCTGTGAGTCTTTCAGTTTCAGGATCTCTGCTCTTTAAACTGCTGAAAGAATCAATGAGTAAATCTCAACGTGAATGTGATACAATAAGAAGCTTAGAGGATTTTCTGTATCTGTGACAGCAAAAGTGAAAGGGATGTTAGAGAAGTGTGTGTGTGTGAGAGAGAGAGAGACAGAGAGAGAGAGAGAGAGAGAGAGGAATCAATATTCATATTACACCTTTAGGGCTGTGATCATCATCCTAACATCCTCCTGTTGCTGCCTCGACAGGATTGCGCTCGTTTGTATCCTCCTGATTCGTATCTTCTAACAATGAGACCGTTTTGAACCTCTGGTGGGGATTTTGTTCCTAATGCAGCAGTGCAAAAATCTTCACAGCTGCATGCATGAGTAGGCCTACCCATTCATTTCAGATATTTTCATTCAATTATACACTCACACTGAAAGTGAAGCATTTACAACACTTTTCTAGTCTTAGAAAACAGTTTATAAGACCAGTTAACCTAAAATGTTTTATATGAAGCTTATCCGGAGCACCTGGAAACAACCCTGCAGGAACAAGAAGAACAAAGGCAAACAGCCTGCATCCATCCAGTCTTTGCTAACCCAACACTGACATACAAGACTGACAGAATGCATTTAAAGTTTGTCCTGTAACTTAAAAACATAGAAAACTGTGAAAACCTAAAAACTGCAAAATATAATATGCCGTATACCTCAATATCTCCACACCTTAAAATGGTGCTAATATGGAAACCTACAAACACCTTTGTGGTCCTTGAAAAGGCGCATTGTTGTCTTGAGGTGCATTAAGCCCACATTTGTGTAGACGGTACCTGTAGGGACAGAAACAGACTTCTGCTGAGCCCCAGGTTCTGTTTCTGTCACGGCTGTCGAGGCGAGCCGTGTGGTGTTGGAGGGAAAAGGACCCAAAATGCAGGCAGTTGACTGATAATGCAAGTGACGTTTATTTACAAATAATAGGGTGACGGAGCTGACAGTGAGAAATGACTAAAGAAACCTAAACTGGGAAAACTAAATAACAAACCTGAGAACATAAGAAACGGGGTGCAGGGCAGCGAGAGGACCGAAACACCAATGGAACACAGACAAGCCGACAAAAAGCACAGACCGACACCCACTCACACACAAGGAAATCAGGTAATCACACACAGGAGGGAAGAACAGCTGATCCTAGTACACAAAGACGACTGGAGGATACAAGCTGAACACAATGACAACAGACACAGACCTTCAAAATAAAACAGGAAATCCAGAACACGAACAGGGCACAAAGGGAAGAACACAGGACACCAAAATCTGAATAATTAGAACAGAAGAAAATAACCATAAAGCACAAAACGCTGGGTCAACGACCCAGCACCACGACAGTTTCTGTGAGTGCATGTTAGCAAAGTGAAAAATGAAATAATAGAGCCATGTGCATCAATAACACAATCAGCCCAATGGAAACAGTGCAAATGTGTTCAGCTTTGCAAAGCAAACAGTGGCACATTGGGATGCAAATGAAAAAAGCAGCGAATGGAAAATCAGCAAGTCATGTGATTCTGCACATGTGAGCCCGGCTGTTGACATAGTAAGCATGAGTTAGCATGTGGGTGACATGAGCGTTTGCAGGGAGAAGGATGTTTAAGCGATATCAGCACAGAAATGCTGCTGAACGGGAACCTGAACTGCACAGTAAGCTTCTGTATCCGAACACTGCTCCTCACATCAGCAGTAAAAGGAACTGTTGTTGCTAGGGAAGGCTCGTCAGCCATAATGAGTGAATGGACTGAAGCAGAGAGCTGCAAATACAAGGTTACGCAAACACGAGGACAAAACCCAGGCACCCAGAAAGCGTTTATTGTAGTGCAATCAAGTTAACAACATCTAAGATCCCTGAGTCTGTCTTTTTGTAAGGAAGGAAAAAGCTTCCCTGGCAACTGTTTCTGGACTGATTGCTCTCATGTGACAAGATTACGCAGTCAAACATGGATACAGAGAGCGGGAGACAGAGGGGGGAGTGTGTGTTTGTCAGGGAGAGAGCAGGGCTGATGAGTCAGAGGAGGCTGATTCTGACGCAATCCTCCCTCCTCTTCCTCTGCCTACATTACTGTTTCTTGAAGGCTGATCCTTCTTCCCCTGCAAGAAACAAACATAAAGGCATTAATGTAACTGACCTACTCTTTACCATCGCTGATTCCATATGTTATGTAATTCTGGATATACTTCACATTATTTCTTCAGGTTATCATTATATGAGTCTGAGCAATAGTCTAATGCTTTACATTTGGGAGATTATTTCAAGATATCTCCAACTTTAAACGTACA